CTCTTCACTCTCCCCATGGACTTCAGTTCTCACTTCAGATCCTTCTGGGGCCCAAGGGACCCATTTCTCTCCTTTCTGTCTTCCTTGCATTGCTATATTCCAATGTCTAGATGGCAACTCTCAGGCTCTTTCTCTGCTTGATGTCTTTATTTGATGTCTACTTTTCAGGGTTGTCCTCTGGGCATGGCTAACTATTGTCCCTTGCTTCTGTCCCAGCAGCAAACTACCTCCATTTTTTTGAGATGTAAGGTTGCAGCATATTTGGCCCAATTGTTCAGGAATGGGCCACAGTATTTTAGTGACCCAAGGCAAAACAGATATTGGCATCTCAATAAAAATCAGTTAACAACAACTATGTCACCTTGGTTATAGTAATAAAATCAACATTAATTATAGCATCAAAGAGAAACTGGATATTGACAAACTCCAACAATCCATAATATACCAACCTTAACATAGAAAAGAGATCTATAATTATAGTATAAACACTACGACAAACCAAATATTGACCTACTGTGGGCCTACAGTAAATATCTACTAAATGGAACAACTTTACATCTGCCAACAATAGAACAATATTCAACAGCAATAGCATAGAGTTCATTAGCTATCTACATATTCATAAAGCTAGTAGTTATATTACTAAAAGTAGAGGAGGTGAGGAACCAGAGAATGAAAAAAAGTAAAATTTGAAAAAGTAATCAATGGTATATGACAATAAAGAGATTGGGGTCCTACTGAGGATTAAAAGGAAGTTGATAGTTTGAGAAAGTTGTCACAGGAAAAACCAAATAAGAAAAAGAAGTAAAAGAAAAAAATCAGAGAGCAACATACAAGAAATAAAATAAAGAAGGAAAAGAATTTGAAAAAGTAGAGAAAAGAAACTAAAAGTGCAAAAAAAGTAAAAAAAAAAAAAAAGGTGGGGGAGGACTGCTAGCCCCCTAATCTGATGATAGAAAGACAAAAATATTAAAAAATAGAAAAATCAAAAAAGATGAGCCATAGGGAAAAAAAAATGTCTCTTTGTTTTTCAATGAGTAGTTTCCTTCCAAGATCTGTTGTCTTGGAATCTAGCCAGTCATGAGTTTTCTCTGTCCAGCTTTAAGGGCTAAGAGTTTTTGAGGTGCCCTCCTTGCACAAGAGGTCCCTCTGTCCATTGACCCCAGACTGTTGTCACTGTTCAGGCTGAGGTGTATCTTTTCTCACATTGGTAGATGGGAAATGTGATTAGCCCTTTCTTCTCTACTGGAGGTGGATAGTGGGGTGGGGGTTCAAGTAGACTGTTGGTCTTAATATTGGTACTTATGGGGTCTTCTTGCTTGTTTTGGAGGGCAAGGCCTGTGTTTTTCCCAGCCTGAGTGCCCACTCCCTCTCTGTGGAAGTCTCCTGTGCTTATCTCTCACACAGTCCCTTTGGGAAGGTAACACTAGAATGCCTAGAGTTTCTGGCCTGGTTCATACTTTCTCCCTGGGTCTGCTGCTTTTCCAGGCTATCTTCTTTCCCCAGTCATCATTCTCTTCCAGGCTCAGGTCAGTTGGTGAATCTGCACCTCTTTGCCTCATGCCAAGGGAAGCAAAATGTAAAGGCAGCTTGGAGTTGGTGGAGAGCTGTGCCCTTTGGGCCAGGTTGCTTACACTGGGTGCAGGGTTGCAGGGAGCTGCATGCTTGTGTGGCTGCGTGCTTGTGTGGCTGCCCCATTGTGTCCTCTTCGCTACTTTTGACTGAGCTCTGACACGTTATAGCTGAGTCCACTTCAATCTGCATTTTAGGTTAAGTTCCCCAGACTATTCTCTCCAGTTATTTATGATGGACCAAGACATATGTAAGATTAAACTTTCATTTATTGAGACTTGATTATGTGCAAACACTGGGTAACTGCTTCACATCCATTATCTCACTCAGTTAAGTGGTTCCAAATCCCCTGTCCAATCTGTTCACTTTTGTCCTCATACCAACTGGTAGTTAAGAGGTACCCACAAGCTCTATCAATATCTTAAGTCTCCCTTGCTATATGAAATTGTAACTGGGATTCAGTGTTTTCTGAGGTGACCCTGGACAACCTGTGTATATAAAGAACCTGATATGTGTGATACCCTTTGTCATTGTCAACATTAATTTTTGTCCAAAGGTAGAATCTTCTACCCTACTCAGAAACACAGTCCCCCTGTAAGAATGATGTTTGGTCCAAAATCTTTGCCAGGTGATAGCCCTGCTCCCATGGTCAGGTCTCAGATAAGAGCTGCTTCATTCCCAAGTGTCAACCCTGTTAGACTGAAGCAATGCCTGTAGCTCTGTTCCACTGTTTGGGAGTCCCCACCCTAGTGATGGTGAACCTTTTAGAGCTTTCAATGACGCAAACCTCCCACATGTGCCATAGGTTCACCACCGCTGCCCTACCCTGTAGTAGACATTGCCTCTGCTTGGGAACCATTCCATATTGAAACTCTTCTCCCATCAAACACCTGACACTTGCCATGTTTGCCTGCGGGGCCCCCTTGATCCCCACTGAAGTAGCCCTAGTGGCCAGGTCAGTTTTCCAGCATTTGCCCTCTTTCAGACAGCAGGTGTTGTGAAAAGATTTCACAGGTTGCAAAAGGATCGAAGTTAGTGAGGCTTCTAACAAAAAGATACAAGTGGGTTTGGTTGGCTTTTGATACTATCAATAACTGTGGCAATTTTAAACTGTACCAACTTAGCTAATCTGGAAGTTTCCCAGAATCCCCATCCCTTTATGGTTCTGGGTACAGTTTGCTAAAAAACACACTTGGGCAAGGTTTGGAAGGCAGAAAGAAAGCAGGAGACATGGCTCTGAAAAGCACTGCAGTTACAGGTGGTGAGGTAAATGCAGAGGTGCTGGGTGGTTAATTATCCTCTCTTTTCTGCTGCACATCCAGCTTTTTTCCTGTCAGGTCTACTGACCAGCAGCAACCACAAGCTCCTTCCAGGGACTAGCTGCAAACTCCCAGGGTAATAGTGCCATAGAGGCAGCAACCTTTCCAGACTTCCACCAGCCTCCTCCTGGCGCACCTCCCTTCTCCGTTTCCCTGAGAGCCCCGATTTGTTGACCTGTGCCAGGACTCAGCGAAGACTAAGTAACAAGTTCTCTTCTCTAATTTTAGCGATAAAGTCTGATCCAAAAAATATTCTTTTTAAAAAATGCTAACTTGCTTTCCTAGAATTTAACAAATATTCATTCAGAAATCTAAAAGTAGTGTTTTATTTATTTATTTATTTATTTAGCGTTCTAGGGCTTTTCTGAAATCTCTATGTAGCAGGTAGAGTCCCACCCCGATCCTACCCCTATTTTAACCATTTTTGTGGGACTAAGGGATAGTATTTCTGTAATTTTTTATGTCCTTTGTTTTAAAGCTTTAACAAGGGATAATTTGTAAAATGACTTCTCAGTCGAATATGTAATCATGAGCAATTTGCTTGGTGGGAAGTAGGGAATGGCAGGCATCTTTAAATGAGTTAAAGATACCCTAATTACTTATACCTGCAAAAGCTGTCACTTCTATAAGGTGTGTAATTAGCAGCCGGAATGTGCCCTGGGAAATGTGATTGTTTAGATAGAGGACATAGCCAGAGGCCACCCAGACTGGGGCTCTCCCACTGTGTACATGAGCACAGCCAGGGCTCCGTCCTGGCTGGCCGCATATTAAGGCAGACTGCAGCCTGAATGCAAAGTGTGTGGTCAATTGAACCCATACTCATTGTTCCAATGAGCAAGGCAGGTGTGAGCTTTTTAAAAAAAAAAAAAAAAAAAAATTGGGTCCTTTTTTGTTTGTGATTATTTTCTGCTTTTCTAGCGGTTCTCAGCCTCAGGTGTCCATTAGAATCACCAGGGATACTTAAACAAATTGATGCCCACACTGCACCCTAATTAAATCAGACTTTCTGTGACATCAATTTTTAAATCATCCTTGGTGATTACAATGTGCTACACATTTGAAAAGCAGTGATTCTCAAACTTTCGCTGCATCACAATCTGCTGGAAGGCTGTTAAAATAGGGGTTGGTGGGTCCCTATCTCTAGATTCAGGAAGGTGAGGAGTGGGACTGTCCAAAACTTCACATTTTTTAATTTTAAGGATACGCTGCCAGCACTCACAGTAAATTCCTTTCAGAGTTAGAGTAACTATATTTTGCACGCATGGTAGGCATTGTGTCAAAATGTCACTGGCTCATTTGACGATTTTTACAAAGCTGTTTCTTATATTTCAGGTCATTCTCAGTGCCACACCTCAAACTCATGGGCGCCTGCCCCATTATGATCACATAATCCGGTTTATTTCTCTCTGGGCTCTGTTCCTCTCTTCTACTTGCATATAAGCGTCACAAAGGCAGAAACCATGTCTTAACCTAGAGCTTAGCACATGGCAAGCACCCCACGGACACTTGCAAAATGCAAATTCACAAAGCAACCCCATGGAGGAGGAAACATGGTCAACATTTCACAGACCAAGACATAAAAGATGAAATAACTTCCTTCAGATTACAATGAAAGAATTAAAGAGTCAACTGTGTCCTGGGCAGAGATGGGCTCTCAAACTACTCCAAGAATTGATCACCAGCCTTAAATATAGTTCGTATCGGATTTCCAGCAACAAACTGAGTTATTCATCTAAGTAACCAACTATCTTTGCCTTACTGACACTGGATTCAAAGCTTAATTTTTCAAAAAACGATCCAGTGTCAAAATTTAGTGGCCAAACTATATCAACAGTAGTAATTTTTTTCCTATTAAAAAAAACTCTGACAAGCTGGGGAGAGTACCTGGCTGTAGCTGAAATGGAAGGATTGGTTGAGGGGTTCTTGCAATGGGCCACACAGTGAGACCCTGTCTCAAAAAAAAACCAAAAAACAAAACCAAAAAAACTTTGTAACAACTTACAAGCCCCAAAACAGGTTAAGATTTCTATCTCATATAAAATTATTACACCAAAACCTCTTAATACCAAATTTTTATATTTAGAGGAAGAAAAGCTACATGGAAACAAGTGAATTTAAATGGTCTGATTTTATTTAGTACACCAGTACAACTTAATAAATTAATATGTACAGTTACAAAAAAATGTTGGGTGCTAAGAAAAATGCTTCTGGATGTACAAAGTTTATGCAGAATTTTTCAAACAGTTTGACGTAATTTCCAAAATCAGAAGTGTGGCAACATCCCATTATTGGAGGAAATTGGAGTTTCCTAATTCATGATTCAGTTTTGACTGTATAGTTTTCAATCACCACTTCAGTTCCTGAAAGCCACACCTGAAATGAGACCTGACAGCTAAGAAACCACCTGCTATGGTCTCCCAACTGTACAGATGAGGAATCTACGTGCTTGGCCAAAGACGACAAAGTTAATCAGACATGGTATCCGGGTTAGTTTTCACACGTGCTCCGGGGCAGGGGCAGGGAGTGATAAATAAGGCACACATATCACACGGAAGTCGAGTAATACTTGAAAGACCCTGATGTTCCTTTCTGCTTAAGGTAGGATTAATTCCTGGTATGTTTTTGTAGTTCACAAACTAAGTGACTGAGCTCATCAGAGTGTCTGTTCCTGTTTGAAATTCATCATCAGCAGAAAATGATTACACGTTAGCACTATCTATAGAAGCATCAACATGAGCACAGGACAGTTCATTTCTCTTGGCAGGTCATTCCCACCAGAGTCAGCATGTACCCTGTTCTCTTCTGAGCAATCACTTTGCTCAAGAGCAGTGTGGATTATTTCTGGGACATCAGAGTTCCACATAGCAATGAGATTTCTCATCATATCAGGAATATGCCTAACAATGCACTTATAAGTAAAATAAATATTGTATTTATTTTATGCCATTTCTGGCATAAAATTTTTTTAATTTTCTTAGTCTAAAGCTGCTGCCAAGTTAAAAAAAAAGTCCATATAGATTGTTTTCATTTAAACCTCTGATGAGTGTGTGCAGCTTTTATTAATTAGTAATAGAACACTCACTTTCTAACAAGTCATTTTTCTAATCACAGGAGCCATTCCCAAAATAATCTTCTGGGTATCAGTGTATTTTCAAAACTTTATATATACATAGCAAAGCTGTCTTTATAAAGGAATTTTTCAATTCTTACTTAAGTGATTCTAATTTCTTGCTACTTGCAGCACTGCCGAAGACTAAGAGCCTATCTTTTTTCTGCCTTTCTCCAGGGCAACATTTCTCTGCAGGAGTGCACGTCTGGTGGGCTGCATGTTACGGAGATTCATTAAATGTGCTCTATGGATATACTTATTCAGAACAGGTCTCCCATTTCCAAGCTCATTTTCTGGTGTAGATGCTTTAACTTTTGGTAGTGACATAAAACTGTGATACGCTGAAAGCACTGCTACTGGCCATAAAGACTTACTGACCCATTTCTGAAGTACAATTTCGTCAGCATTATCAACAAACAAAAACTGAGATACAGAAATATTCACTCTGATGTGGCAAAATCACCCATGCATTTCATTTACTTAACCTGCAGCGTTTCACTCCTCTCATTACTGATTTTGCTTCCTTCTATCTTATTCTGATTTTCAAAGAATATGCAGAATATAAGGAAACTCCATTTCTTTGACCATTTCACTTTGGACTTTCTTCCTTAGTCATTAAATTGTAGCATGGAGAAACCGTGGTGTCGCCTTGCTATCCCTTCTTCTGATTTTTGAGACAGAGTCTTGCTGTGTATTCCAGGCTGGCCTGAACTTGCGGTATCTTCCTTCCTCCTGAGTGCTGGGATGACAGGCATGCACCACACCTCTTTCCTTTTAATGTCACACTCGAACTCAGCATGAAGTGTAACAGAAATGGCACACTGAATGAACATGAGCATTCTAATAATGGCGAGACTGAAGAGACCGGCACAGTGAGGGAACTGCAAGCACTGACAAAGCAATGGATTTTCTTAAGTTTAGAGCCACAAAGCTGATGTCAGTGTTCACAGAAAGGGCTAATTTTACTCAGTTTAATAACTAAGTTAAAAAAAAGAAACTTTTTAATAAAGAATTCTAATGAATGAGGTAGATAATGCTGTAATCAGATACCAAACTAGGTTTAGGATATGAAAATGAAGAAATTAAGGGAAAGAGAGTACTTCCTTTAAATTCAGATGGGTAATTCAGAACACTTCCAATTCAAAGTTCTAAGCATGAAATCCAGATAAAAAGTTATGGGCTTGCTTTTCTACTTGAGGATAAACTCAGCAGTTGATGAACAGATCCACACTCTTAATGGAACAGCAAATCATAAAGCAGTTGTCACTGGAAAGCCAAGGCCCTTTCATCTGATATTTCCATCCATTTATTCAGGATCTGAATTCCTGAAGGCTTCTTCAGCATTTAACTAATTCTTTGTTGCTTGAAGGGGCTAGGACTGTTTCTCCACACATGAACTGATCCTAAGAGAGAATAAAAAATGACATTAACCACTCACTTTCTGTATCATAGATATATTAATGTTACTTTCATTTTTCTACATAATCAATCCAGCCTTTAGTTTTTCCACTGCTGTATTCATTCAAGTTCAAAGAGCAATATCAGTATTAGAATTAGAATCTTTTTTTGCTGGTTTTTTTTTTTTTTTTCTGGTACCAGGAATCAAACTCACGACCTCGTGCTTGCTAGGCAGGCACTGTGCCGCTGAGCTAAATCCCCAGCCCCTAGAATTAGAATCTTAAAAGTATGTTTTTATTATTTAATAAGAAGCACCTTTTCTTATAAGCACGCTCATCTTCTCAGCATTTTCTCATGTAACTACTTACCAGAAATAACAAAAAGGCAGCATGTGTTTTAAGTTTCTGTATTAATTACTTCAATATTTGGGCATTCAAATATACATCCTCTCCAAAATAATTAGTGCTTCCAACTAAAAGGGATAGGTCTTTATGCTCTGTGTCTCTGGCTCTCTCTCTCTGGCTACCCTTCATCTCCTGCAATTTGATCTCTAAGGATCAGCACTATTCTGTACCTTTTGCTCTCTCGTACCCACTACCCAGAACCCTGCTGGGCCCTTTCGAATTTATGGTGCATCATCAGCATAGTGCTCCCTTTCTCAACCTCTTCTTTACAATGTCCCTTTGCCACCAACATCTGGAAACATTTTGGGTTGACACAAGTTGGAGTTTCTATTAATACCTACTTGGTAGAATCCAAGGATGCTGCTAAACATCCTATGTGCAGGACAGACCTGCACAATGAATCTTTACACCTAAAATATCAACAGTGCTGAGGTTGAGATGAAGCCATACTCCAAGGAGAGTTTCCCCAAGGCCCCCCTCTAGTAGTGTCTATGTTGTCAGAGCCCTAGTACCAGAAGGCTTGGCAGTGGGGACTGGGTACTCCTTTTTTCTCACCATTTTCCTTTCTTCTCTAAAAATCCACCAACTTTGAATCTTACCTCATGAGACTACAGCAACATTATTCCTCTCTGTTTCTGTCCTCCACCTACCCTGGATCCCATATTCCAATTCCTCCGGACCTCCACTGTATTCCTCCTACCACCTTCTCTCTTGATGTTCTCTTTACCTTGTTCAACTTCCAACTCGATTATCACAACCAGAACTTGTTTCTTTTTCAGTCAGCTTTGCAGATTCTTCATCACCTCCATCACCTTTTAATCCTTGAGTATCCCAGGTCTCCCCTCTTTCTATATCTACACTGAAAGTTCTGGTGATCTCACCTGATCTCCTGGCTCTCCATGCTATCTGTTGCTGATAACTCCTAATTAACACTCCCAGCATTTTCTCTTTCGAACCCCAGACAAGCATATTAACTGACTTCTCCACAACTCCACTTGCATGATAAGATCTCTCAAACTTAGTACATCCAACTCCCCCTGTACAACTACAGTTACCTCCCCTCAACTGACGGTAACTCTGCTTCCAGTTAGGCCACACATGTTGAAATCATCCCCGACTCTTCTCACCAGCTATACTCAACCAGTAAGAAAATCCTTATCATTTGAAGTATATTCTCTCTTCTTACTACCTCACTGCCGAGGCATGGTCCAAGCCACCATTTCTAGCTTAGATTCACAGAGCAGCCTCCTACTTCATTTCCCTGTTTCTTCACTCCCCGAGTCTACTCCGAACTGAGTAGCCAGAAACATTCTTCTAAAATTCAAGTGAGAACATGGCAATCCTCTGTTCACAAATCTCTAGTGGCTCAGTGTAACATTCACAGCAAAGGCCAACACCCTTAAAGTGGCCCTTCAACCTCTCATTGATCTGCCCAGCTCTATTTATTTCATTTCGGACAACTCTCACTCATTTGCTCTGGTCACGTTGGTGCTGTTTTTGTTCCTTGACAAAACCAAGTATGTTCCCACTGAGGGCTCCTTCACTTGGTGTTCTCTTCGCTCAACTCTTTCACCTCTCACACACACGGCTCACTCCCTTATTTCTTTAATTAGCAAGACCTTTCTCAGTGAGGCCTGCCACGGTCACCTTGTTTAAAATTACAACTGTCTCCCAGACCAGCACTCCTGATTTCCCTTGTCCTATTCGCTTTTTGCTCCAGACGGCATTCTACATCAAGAATGAACTAAATTTACATTATAGTCGAAACTGCGGCCTATTTCTCATGAAGTTCCGTGTTTCAACCTTACCTGCTCTCCTCATAATCTTAAGAGTTAAGTCCTTACTTAGGACTTCATTCAAAGTATTGACAAAACTTTGAGTGAGGGTGGGCAGTAAAAACATTTAGTTCATTGCTACTGTCAACATCAACATCTTTGAGTGAAAGGCAAGAGGACAACTTAAGACTAAACTGAAATTATAAAACAGAAACTTGGAATTATACCTCAAACAAGATAATGCAGAGTTATCTGTATAACTCAAGCAAGAAATCACAGTTGCTCCCACCAAAATGTGTTTTCAGGAGCTCTAAACAAATTTAATTACACATTCGAGAATGGAAGAATATAGTATCAATAAAATAAACTTTATGATTTTTTTCATTTATAATAGTCAATGTTCATTAAAGATTAGTTTATTACCTTCTCCAAAGTTAACGAGTTACACAGCAAACAAATTTTGATTTCTGATATGGATGGTTATTAACCATTTTACAAGTATGTTTTAAAAGAATACCACTTTACCTAGCACACTGTTAAGAAACCTTCACCTAATTTCACAGCCAGGTGGCTCTAGGTCCTTCTATAACCTCATAACCCTTTTGCCCCTTTTAAAATGTGTATCTCTTACTTTGTCATAAATCACTTTTATAATGAGAGAGCAGCTAGGACACGTTGCCACGTCTTCTCCGTTCTCCAAATCTTCCTATAAGAAAATCAATCAAATAACGTGTGGTCAGCATAGCCTGCCCTTGGTCATCTCCTTCCTCCAAATCTCGTCCACCCCCACGGGCAAGCAGACTGCCTTCCCCGCTCCCCAGGAGAGCTCAGAGGAGTCTCCCCAGCCCCCGCTGCACGAAAACACTTAGTGGAAACACCCAGAAGCGAGGCGAGGGTCGGTCATCTCGAAACTCCTGGCAAATAAAAACGAGCCTCCTTTCCCACTTATTCTAGCAAAGGACTCTTTAAAAGGGGCTGGTGCGGTCCAGGAGACAGATGTTCACTGTCACCCCTCCCAGGCCAGAACGATGTGTCCTGAGAAGTCAGGGTATTGATTTTAGGCGAAGGAAACGAGGATGTGGACGACTCAGAGCAGCGAGGGCGACTGAACCGCGCCAAGCAACAGAGCAAAGCAAGAAGGTGCCCAGCCCGGTGAGTTGCCGGGCGGGGCCCTGAAGTTACCTTTGTGATGGAGAAGTTATCCCCACAAGGGCAGGGGTAGAAATATGTCTCCGAGTCCTCGTCATATTGAAAGTCCTCGATCTCCACCTCGTCGTGGAATACTGCCATGGTCTAGGGGCCGGCGAAGGGTGACGGCCGCGCGGTCTGACACCGCCTCCTCGGGTCTAGCGTAGCTGCGGCTGGGCTCAGCGACGTCACCACGCACGGGTGCAAGAAGCGCCGCTTCCGGCGCACAAACAATGACGCAAACCAGGCCGTGGCCGCCAAATGGGTGACCGGGTCGCGGTCACCATGGCGACGGCGGAGCTAGGGGCAGAGGTTCTGGAAAAATGGCGCCTCCGCTCAGCAATGTCGAGCACCGCGACCAATAGGATGTGGAGTTTGTCGTGCGGTTGTACGTCACGGTCTGAGACGCTGAGGCTCCTAGGAGCCGAGGCGGGATTTGGCCCAGGAGTGCGCGATGGGAGTATGTGATGTTCCTTTCCCTGTGTCACGTTGCTGACCTGAGAGAGGCCTTAAATAGCTGGCTGAAGTCTGACAAGCGGCAAAGCAAGGGCACTGCTTTGCTCGGTCTCAGGCGGCAGCGGCGGGAGATGCTCGGCGTGTTCTCCGTCCCTTCCTGTTGACCGACTAACAGCTCTGGTGGAATTTCACTTCATCAGGTGACCTTGAGGTCAGGGGGGCGTCCAGTTTGCGGTAGTTCCAGGGTGCAGGTACTACCTGCCAACCTCTTCCTCTTCCAGACATCTTCAGATACCCTAAATTGTGTTACTGTGGGGACCAAGACCTGGAGGGCAGAGACTGAGCCCAGTCCTGTATTGCTAGGCAGATCACGTTGTTCACTACGATGATATGTATTAACAGTAATAACATCACTTTTTTTTGGTTGGGAATTCGTGTGTCAGATATTATGCTAAATATAATTCTCCCGTTAACCCTGGGTGTTTTAAATTCCATTTTATTAATCTTTAAACTGAGGTCCAGAGAGTAGACACTTTGACCAAGATCACATACTTACTAGATATGAGCCTTTCCCCATAGGTCAGAAGCAAATTACCTATGCGAATCCCAATTCCTTCTGTAAAAGGAATGGAATGGGGGTGGGTATCAACGTGAGTCTTCTCTGAACTTTGAAGCTGAATGCAATCTGTCTGGAAAGCAGCGTTAGTGCTTGTTTGGTACAACCAGATACCATGGAGTATTGCTCCATTACTAGACAGTTGTTCATATCTTAGTAGAAAAGGAATGAAGTGAGTGAAAAAAGCACTATTGAAAAATGGTCTGGGCTCAGAATCTGACTTGGTTGTAAATTAGCTCTGGGAATTGGAGTTTATATTTTTGGTCCTTATTTTCTCTTCTGAGATCGGGCTAGAGATGATTACATAATCCTTTTCAAATCTTAACATTCTTCTTTTGCATGGAAATTAAGAGTTTTACTTGGTTCGGCAATCACATATAACTTAATTTACATTATGTATACTTAATTCATTCCTCTGCTTATGTACACACACTCAAGTGTTTGTGAAAATTGCCAGGTGTGTGGACCTGATGGGATTTTTCCTTTCAGACATCACTGTGGTTACCCTTCAGTAAGTTTCAGATGTTTCCTAATTGCCAGGTAGACCTCCAACAGAGTTTGTGAAATCTTTGAGCCAACCTTTTGTAAACTCCTTTAATATAACTTCTGGACTTTTCTCCCAGACTCCTCTACTCGTTTCAGGATTCCAAACTTTAAAAGAGCTTCTCTCAGTTGGAGTTTCAACTCAGTCTGAACAAAACTGGCAGTTTTGGCTGAGTCTGGTGGCACACACCTATAATCCCATCACTTGGGAGGCTGAGGCAGAAGGATCGCTGCAAGTTTGAGGCTAGCCTGGGCTACGAAGTAAGTTCAGGGCCGGCCTGAACTGCATAGCGAAACCCTGTCCCAAAAAAGACAAAAAATAAAAATAAAAAACAAAAAAAACCCTGGCAACTCAAAGGGACTACCTGAGAAGTGTCTGTGGGTACAGAGATGCAGGGAACTGGATGAAACAAGCATAGATTTTCTACACCACAGTGCTTATTCTGTCGAGACCTGGATTTGGGGGCTTTTTGTAGGCATTCCATACTGTTTTCACGTTTTCCATTTGTTGCCTGCCACCGTGTCTGCTGCTGCTGGTTCCTCTGTGATTCTGCCAAGTTTGTACTTGCACTGTTCTGAAAAAACTAAAACCATAGCTAAACATGTAATAAAGCTTTTTCCTTTTGTTTTGTTCCGACTCCACAATGCTTTTAAAGAAAACACTAAACTGACTACCAAACTTTCCTTTTATTCCTAAAAGAGAATAGAAACATCTTATAATGACACATTCTTGGACTTGAGAGTATGACAAGAGCATATTTACTAGTATCATACAGAATCACTTGCTACAAGTTTATTTTACATAAGTGTTGACATTGCTTATATGGATGGTAACAGCAAAATTCTTACTATAGGATCAGATTTAGAACTTGATCATAATTATGTCATAGCAACTATATTTGATGAGTTGTATAACTCTCCAGGGAGAGCTGCTTTTTGACATCATCAAACCACTACTTCGGTGGGTTTGGCAAAGAAAGGAAAAAGTTAGTATGTGAGGATTGATTTTTAGTGACGCTCTGGCTTGCCAGCTACTTCCACAGATACTATTCTATTTATTCTTCCCTGCAAACAGTGAGATAGTGTGGGTACTGTTAAAGTGGTAAAAGGTGGCTTGCCCAAGATACACCAAACAAACAGACCCCTATGCCACTTGCTTACTACCCAGGTTCCCTTGCCAGGTGCTGGGAGTTGCTTTTTTTTCCATGGTTCTAAATTGACAGGTACCACAATTGCTTTGAAAATTTACTACTTTATTTCAGGACAGTCTCCATGAAGCATTCTCGGTTTTTCTCTCACTCACTGCTCTCTCAGATCCCAAATTCCCTCTTTCACTCTTGATCCTGGATAATTATTCTTCACACAGTAAGCTGGGTAATCGTTTAAAAATACAAATTAGATCATGTTTTTTCCTGATTTATTTAGTTGCTTCTCAGTGCCTTTAGGGTGAAGTTCATACCCTTCCCTGGCCTGCTGTGATGGGGACATGTCTGCTTACTCAGCTTTAATTCACATTACTCTCACTCAGTTTACTGCTTTCCAGCCACACCAGTTTGATTCCTTTACCTGCCAGGCTTGGATTTTGTTGGACCTTCCTTCTTGCTAATCCCTCTGCCAGAATGTTTTCTCCTGAACATCTGCGTAGCTACCTGGGATTGGTCTGGTCTCAGCTCAGGTGTCATCACTTTTGGAGAGGCCTTCCCTGGTACTCCTCCACTCAAGCCATTTCTACCACCTCTATCGAACTCATTCTCCTTGTAATAATCTCATTAATTATCTGTTTAGTGTTTTCTCTGTATAAAAGCTTCAGGGTGGCAAATATGTAACTATCGTTCTAGCCTTTGGCTATGTTTTTATTTCTTTAGCAAGTGCAAGTGCAGCTTGAGCAGAAGCATGAGACAGATCACCAGTGGCCAGGCAAGGAGGATGGCCGGTATATGGCAGGATGAAAACAGTATGAAAGGGAATTTTGTGTGGATTGCCTGAGTCGGGAGGCGTTATGAAGGGCCAAAGAAGCTGAACAAGAGAAGCAGTGAAATAATCAGAAAAGAGAAGTGGCAAGACGGGGTGCCTGCTGATTATAATGAGCCTTTGCTTTTGCAGCCAGGACTTACTAGGACTTTTTCTCAGTTTCCCACATTTTTCTCACATATTATCTCTGCCATTCCAGGAACTTCGTGAGCATTTCAGTATATGGAAAGTCTGTCCATCTTCTGGTTGATACTAGTAAAGTACAACGGCCAAAATATTCTGCATTAGTCAGCCAGCCATACACTTAATGACTCCTGAAATCTCATGGACTCCTAAAGTAAGTTTTACCTTCTTCCTTTCGGTCATTAACACACCGTTTTTGGTTTAGCGCATTTCAGTGGTTAATACATCATTTTTGGTTTAGTGCTTTAAAAAGAGAGAAACTACGGTAGTCTTACATGAAAGGGTGATTATATTTTTTCATTTATTAGAAAAATAACCAATAGCGTGTTCATAATGATGCTGAATCATAGTGTGTCCAGAAGAAATAGATCTTTTATCTGAAGAGTAGTTATGAAGCAGTGGGCTTTTTGGTATCATTTGATTATAGTTGAATAAGACATCCGGCTTACATCTCTACCTGATTTCTTTTCTGTCTCTGCCTTTTAGGATATAAGCTGAGAGGCTTTTTGTTTTCTTGCCTGTATTACCAATGGCTAAGCAGGCCAGTGCCTGCATCCTGTCGGGCTCTTAATAACTAGTGAATGAAGGACTAGGTTAGTGAACACTAATCTTTATTAATTAGCTTGACTTTCTTCTTAACTCAATTTATTACAATTATGTAATGCCTTGTAAAGAACTCAGAAGAAAAGTGTTCACATAAAATTTTTATTCTCCAAGTAATTAAGATAGGAAAAGATCGGTATGACATTGTAGCATGTTAAATGTGGCTGTTTGGGCCTAAGAAATAATTAAAAATTGGCATAAGAAAATAGTATTTAGAGGAAACAATATATATATATAATCTATATATTATCTATATATAGATAATATATAGATAATATATATATAATTTGACTTCTAATTTGACTTCAGTGCTTTTCCTGATAGTCCAGTAATTTTTTTTCTGTTTTTCTTTGTTAGTACAAGTTTGTGGTACATGTGAGGAATGATTACATTCCATGTGAGGAATTGGTACTCGTTCCTAATAAATCTTTTTTTGTTTGTTTGTTTTTGGTTTTTTTTCCGGTATCGGGAATCGAACTCACGACCTTGTGCTTGCCAGATAGGCATTGTGCTGCTGAGCTAAATCCCCAGCCCTCCTAATATATCTTAATTCCTTTTTTCATTTTTCCCTTCCCTCCTATCCCCTCCACATCTTGATCTCCTTGCTTTTTTTTTCCCTTTATACATATTTGCAATAATAATGTTCACATTCCTTCTGCAGAGTTAGTACATGTATATAACACATCTTAATTCTTTTTTCATTCCCTGTCTCTCCATCTCTTGGTTCCCTTCCTCTTTGAAAATCTGTCTTCCTACTTTCTGTTTGGAGATTATTTTTTACATAAAAGCACTGCACTGATGTACATATTTAAAGTTAGCCATTAAGTGACTGTACTGAGAAACGCCTCTTTTCTCTACTATAGTTTAAAAAAAATCTTCATAATAGAAAGAAAACATTTCATTTTTGTGCCAGTGTGATGTCTAATTTAAAGAAATTGTACCATAACTCAAAAGTTACTCTACTTTAAATGTGCTTCCAAAATTTGTGTCAGAATATATTTAAAATTCAAGGACTAAATTCTTCCCAAGGTTTGCAGCATTTGTAATATCTTCTATGCACTTTTGTTTTTCTTTTTCTTTTTTTACTTTTATTAGTACATGTTGCAGTAGACAATAATTATATTCACTGTAGGGGATTGGTACATGTACATAACACATTTCAGTTCCCTCCTTTTTTCCCCCTCTCTCCTCTCCTCTACTTTTTATTTTTCCAGCAGCTGAGAGTCCAGTAGTTTTAAGAAGTGAAATGTTAGGAAGCCTTTCTGTATGTATTTTTAACTTTTTATTGAATTATAACAGTCAAAGAGAAAAGTACATAACTTCTAAGAGGACGGTTGATGAATTTTTCAAAATACAACTACCTAGGCCTGAAGAAATAGCATTGTTGTGGCCACCCCCCAAGGGTAATGGCTTACTTGATTTCTAACATCATAGATTAATTTTTCCTTTTGTATTTTATGTGGTTGGAATTAAAGAATATGTGCTCTTTCATTCAAAATATTTGTCATATTCAGTTATATTACTGTAAAAAGTTGCAGTTTACTCATTGTCATTGCTGTGTATTTGTTTACTCTTATTAATAGCCTTTTGCATAATCTAGTGGGGGCTACTGTGAAGAGTAATGATAATATTATGTGTTGGTTTTTTAGTATTTGGGATCTTAAGTTTTTTATGTTTGGGAATCTCAGTAAATTTGTCTGCCTCTTGCATTTGCTCTAAGAAGAAATAGTAAGGACTGTATGGCCCTCATCAGATGGAACACAATTATCAGTAGTTGTAAATCTGCTCTCCCCTTCTGTAATAGCATAGTCACATAAACTTAGTTACAGATTTTGGAAGCCAAGAGAGAACATAGCTATAGTCACAGGCTGCATAATAATGTTTCAGTCAACAAAGGACTGCACATGCATCCCGTACGATTACAGTGGAGTTGAAAAATTGCTGTCACCTAGTGACACTGTAGCCATCAGAACATCAGACCACAATTTGTGTGTTTTTTTGTTTTGTTTTGTTTCTTTTTTTTGTTTTTGTCTTTTGAGACAGGGTCTCACTATGTAGTTGAGGGGGATCTTGAACTCACTGTATAGCTCAGGCTGGCCTCAAACTTGGGGCAATCCTCCTGCCTCAGCCTTCCAAGTGCTGGGATTACAGGCATGCCCTACCATGCCTGGCTACAACTTGTGTATGTAGTGATGCTGGTGTAAACAAACCTATTGTGCTGACCTATAAAAGTATGGCATGGGCAATTATGTATAGTACATAGTACTTGATAATAAGTGGCCATATTATTGGCTTATATATTTACTAGATCATTATTTTAGGATATGTTGTTTCTACTTACAAAATTTTTTTTAATCATAAAACAGTATGCCATATTACACTGGTAGCAGCAGCCTTATGTGTCTCATATGTACAGTGTATGGCTTGCATCAAGAGGCCGTATTGAGTAACTAACCTCCATCATCCAGGTTTGTGCAAGCATTCTTTATGGTGTTTGCCTAATGATGGGATTCCCTAATGAAGCAGTTCTCAGAATATATTCCCATTGTTAGGTGATACATGACTATATTTGATAGCACCAATAATTAACGTATTTGAATCAGCTCTGAATGGTATCAGAAATTTTGCCAGGTGAAGATCCTGATTTTTTTTTTGTTGGCAGACCAAGGCGCAATTGCACTACAGAAATCCAAACTTTTTTTTTATTGGTGTCTGAACTAGTTGATGTTTTCACCACTTTTTCTTAAAAGAGTTTTAAATTTGAGTTTTGTTTGCCAGGAAGCACCATGGCCTGCGTTGCTGTCTTGGTTCCTGGGTTGGTGGGAGGCTCTCTGGGAGCCATTTGCATGCGAGCTGCTTCGTCAAGGCTGACACGCAGTACTTTGCGCCACCTTACCCTAACCAGGTGAGTTGTCAGCCTTTGGTGTGCCTTGAAGTTTATTTTCAGAGAGACCTGATCTGCTGATGGTCGTGGGAAGCATATCAAACTCCCGAAAGAGGCAGCACTTTGGCTTAAGTAATGCATGGCATCCGTAGATCATAAAACCTCAGTTAGATGTATACATTTTCACCAACCATTTTGTAGGCTGCATGATATTATATCATATATTGGATAGCCATAATATTCCAGGGTAAACTAATTTTATTACTTGTATGAGGATAGTACTTAATAACCTAATTTTACTTTTCATTAAAGCACAATGAAATCCAAAAGGAAAACTGACCACTTGGAGAGGACTGCAAGTGTTGTCCGACGAGAGGTTTGTATGTGTGTGTGACAGGTTTTCCTGGCCACACAGTTTAAACACAGTTGGGGCGGGTTTTATGGGAAGGCATTAGATGAGGCTGGTTCACTTGAAGGACAGTCCAGGAAGTTTGTTATTTTTCTGTTCTGAAAGTTTCTGAGCAGGACATACTACAACGGATTTTAAAAGATGACAGAAATACTCACATTTGTTCTTTTGTCCTTTGAACTTGGAGTGAGTGGATTAATTTTTGGTGAAGGGAATGTAGTGGCGATTAAAGGAATCATCCTCATGAGTATGACATTTTGGGTTCTATTGTAGAGGGAGAACTTCTTTTAGAGCCTACATTTTATGAAGTGGCTTACCTTTTTTCTTTTTTTCTTTCTTTCTCTTTCCTTTTTTGTTTTCCTTGGCACCATCTCAAAGCCCTTGACCATCCCTACTTTAGAACTCCTTATTCCGTGAAGGGAGAGAGAGGAGAGTGGACGAGCTCATTACTCTTCCCATGCACAGATTTTTCCCCACCATATTCAGACTAGAGAAAGCTAATCTACCACCTGAAGGGGTGTCAAGGGCTGGGAAGTAAAGGACCCTCATCCTTTACCTCAGTGAGTAACCCTGTTTTTATTTAAAAGTATAAATTGGGTATTTGCTTTTGCTTTTTTGAGTGCTTCTTAGATATTCAGATATATTTAGCTTAGTGTTATTCCATTTAAACTAATAGTAATACTGTATTTTTATGCACATCCACAAACATGAACTGAAAGTGTATTGTCTCCGTTTAATTTTACGTATTTATTAGTTGAAGAAAACACTTTTATGGAAAGGTGTATTATTTAAGCCCTACCTTTAAAACTGATTCTACTTTCAGAAAATGACTTCGGGACTGAAGGTTTGATCAGTTTAAATTTTTTTTTTAAGAAGTCTGTAAAATTAGATCAGCAGAGTAGGTTTATGGCCATGTGGGAAAATATACTTGTCCCATGGATGCTAAATCTGAGAGTACTTGGTTCAGCACATAGGAATGCTGACTCTATAAATGTGAGGCTTATTTTTTTTTAAGTGAAAAGTTTGGTAGTTCTCAAGAAAAAGTAGTTTATTTAGCAAACATGTGCTGTATGCTTTCCTTTTGTATTTTGAGGCAGGTAGATAAATTAGAGCAAGCATTGGCCAACTTTCTTTAAAGGGCTAGATAGTAAATATTTTACATTTTGTGGGCCATATTGTCTCATTTACAACTACTAAACTATGTCTCTATAGGATGAAGGCAGCCATAGTAGTATGTAAACAAATTGGTGTGGTTATGTTCCAGTAAAACTTGATTTACCAGATCAGATTTGGCCTGCAGGTAATAGTTGCCAGAACCGGAAATAGAGTCGTCATCTCAGGATTTTGCAGGATGAAATTATTGGGGATAGGGGAAGGTATTTAGAATTATTGGGGATAGGGGAAGGTATTTAGAATTATTGGGGATAGGGGAAGGTATTTAGAGCCAAGGTTAGGGCAAAGAAAGTTAGTGTAAACTCTCATAGTATGATTGGTTGAGAATTTTAGTGCCTGGAAATCAGAAAATTATAAGGTTCAAATTCTTTTTTTTTTTTTTTTTTTTGGTTTTGGTTTTTCTCCGATACTGGGAACGACCTTGTGCTTGCCAGGCAGGCGCTTTTTGCCGCTGAGCTAAATCCCCAGCCCCAAGGTTCAAATTCTAATCATGTTATTACCTTAGAGGAAAAATTTTCCAGTTGAAGTTCTCTTTTTGTTTCTAATTTCTACTCCTCCAAACAGAATGAGAACTGGGAGATGAGGGATTGCAGAGCGCTTGATGATCTCTGGGGCCACCTCTGTACCAACTCCACCTCAGTGCCTGCAGAGCTTGCTCCTAGCCATAGAGCAACTTGACCTTGGGTTTGTGAAGTGAACAGATTCAGGTTGGGCTATAACAGTATGAACTAGATTCTCACAATCTCATCTCCCACTCTCGCCTTTAATTTGTATAGCAAGGACAGTGTACTTTACAAAACTGCCCATTTCATTTACTCTTCAGTTCAAGTCCATCGGTACTATATGTGCCGCCAAAGCGAGCACTCAGGTAGTCTAATGATAGGATGGCACTTACATTTTACAAAGAAAGATACTAAGCTTAAGAGGTATCTTAGGGCAATGATGGTGAACCTTTTAGAGACCGAGTACTAAACTCCACCCCAAAACCCACTTATTGCAGCGTGCCCACTCTGCAGTCAAACCTGAATACTGAGGTTTCAGTTTAGGAAAAATAACTCACACATTAACATCTTTTTATCTCAAAAAAGAAAACCACAATAGCATGCATGCCATAGGTTTAACACCACTGTCTTAGGGTCTTTCCAGAGGCAGAGGGAAGCTCCAGCTCAGAAATCCTAGCCCAGTGGACCTTGTTGCCGCTGCTGGGGTGGGTAGAGAATGGAGCAGAAATGGATCCAGAAATGTCCTTTCAGTGCTGTGTGTTATATTCCCTCCAGAAAGGTTATGTATTGGTGCTCTTGCGTGGGACTGTAAATGCAGGAAATGGAATTCTGAATTGATAAATGTTTGCCTGTATTCAAATTTACATTTTTTTCTTAGGATTAAAGAATAAGCCATCTGAGTAACCTTAACAATGTCAAGGAGATAAGAGTAGAAATATTGTAAAGTAGTAAGAATTGTTCGGGCAAGGCTAACATATAACTGGAGGATCAATCTGTACCTGGCCTCTGCAGAGGCTGGGCCCACTGAGCAAGATACACTCTGATTATCAATTTGTGGATGAGTTTGGCAATAAAAGTTTTAAAATTAACTACTTTTTATGCATTCATTGGTTCATTTGGAAATATGCCAGACACCAGATGCGGGTATTGAAAATGCTAGATAAACCCCTGTCCTCAGAATTTAGTGGAGCTCTGCTGTGAAGTGATTCTAGAACCAGCCATGGTAGTGCAAACCTGTAATCTCAGCACTTTGGGAGGCTGAGACAGGAGGATTGTAAATTTGAGTCCAACCTGGGCAATTTGGCATCTTGGTGAGATCATATCTCAGAATTTTAAAGAATTTTTAAAAGGACTGGGGATGGAGCTTCGTTCAGAGGCCCTGGATTCAATCCCAAGTGCCACAAAAAACAATGATTTTACGCATGTAATTGTTTTGGAAAAATATTAATTTTTTTCTACCTCTAAAGTTTGCTTTTAGAGGGGCTGGAGGTTTAGCTCAGCAGCACAGTGAGTTCGATTCCTGGTGCTGGGGGCAAAAAAAAACAAAAACAAACAAAGAAGCAAACAAAAGTTTGCTTTTAGAAGCATATACCTTATCTTGTAGTGTCTTACGTGTGTTGTTGTCTTTTGTTTTCAAACCATTTAATTGTACAGTGGGCTGGTACTTGATTCTCACAACCCCATGGGAGGGAGGTTTAGGAATCCTTGTTCCTATTTCACAGATGAGAGAATTAAGACTCAGGTGACCTTGCTTCTTAATTTGTCTAGAATAGTCCTGGTTCATGCCGTTTGTTTCTAGAATATCGTTGCAAAAGCATCCTATCTTAAATGATGAATTATGTTTTTGGTCAAGTAAATGAGGCCTCAACCCTTGAACTCAGTTTCTGATAATCAAATCAGGTTTCCTTACAGTAAAGGAATGTAACACTTGGTTTAGAGAGATGGAGTTAATATGTTACTGGACATAAAAGGGAGAGTTACTGATGGCACGGTGGTTAGTTAATAGCTTCAAAGGGCTGAGCGGCTGAGTGGTCCTTGGGGATTCTGTGGTTCCCAGTGCTGATTTTTGAGTGCTCATCATTGCTTGACTTGTGATTGCCGGGTTGCAGGTCTGAGCGGGATGAACTGCCTAACTGAAGAGCGGCTGCCTGTGTCTCCTGGGGAGTACAGCTCACTCCGCTGTCCAAGCCTGCAAAGCAGTGGGGGCTCCTTGGGGAGAGCTTCACAGCCAGCGTATCACACACAGTACTGGTATACCGTACTCATTCAGTACTTGCTTCATTAAGTCGAATAAGCAGGTGTTGGTCTCAGCTCTGTAGCTGATTGCGTGTACTGCCTTGTATGAATTGCTTGTGACGTAGGAATGGTGGTGATGCTGTCGCCAGAGGTGAGGTGCTGATACCTGTGCAGTCTGCTCTGTACAGACAGACGCCACGGAAATCACCAGAGTTGCCTGTGCTGCTGCTACTTCCTAAAGCCCTAGACTTAACTGGATAGTGTCTGAAATGTAAAGCGCTTTTGCTCAATGAATTAAGCAGTCAGACAGCTAAGCTCTTGTTCTCCCCCTCCCCCGTGGATTCCAGGGTTACAGCAGTGCATGAGGTGGGCAAGGTCCCTGCTCTGTGTAGTGTAGCTAACCCACAGAATGTCCGATGTGGTGGACTAGAGAAAATAAAACAGGGTTACAGGAGGCGAGAGGGGCTCGAGGCAGGGTGCCTTTTAAAGTCTATGCTTAACGTTTGTACCAGGGCTTCGATAAGGAAAAGAGCCAGCCGTGTGGGTAGCGTTCTGCGAAGAGGAACTGGCAGGAGCCAAGGCTATGAGGCAGGAATGAGCCTGCTGCACTGATGGCAGGTATGGGAGACGGGGACAGGTAGACGGGAAACTGTTAACTTCAGTAGGAGGCTGGGATTTTATCTTGAGAGTGATGGCAAGTTTTAAGGGGGAGTATGAGTGATATTCTAATTTTAAGTGGGTCACTTATCTCCTCGGTCATGGACTAGGCTCTTGTGCCATGGACACCAGCTTGGCGGCTGTTGACATACTTCCAGGGAGGTGCTGGTGGTAGTCAGGATGGAGGTCCGGAGATGGGTCTGGGACAGAGGAGGAGCTGGCGGGATTCGCAGGTGGGGATGGAGTAGCAGTTAGTGCAGAAGAAGCCAAGGTAATTCTAGGATTTGGGGTTTGAATAATAGCAGTAGATAATGATATGATGGTGGTGGCAAATGTTGGTGAGCATGAAGAGCGTTTGAAGGAGAGGAAATAAAGAACTTGGTTTTGGAATAATCTGGG